CGGATCCCGCGTTAGGCAGTTGCTGTTGTTGTCGCTTAGTACAATGTTAGTTGAGACCGCTACTAATAATTAATAATACAGATTTTAATTGGCCGGCCGGATTTCATCTTTGGAGCAACTCTAATGCATGAACAACAACATCATCTTCAACGACAACATCAACAACAACAACAACAACAACAACAACATCGTCATCATGGATATATACATATCTACGCCTTGGTCTATTGGATTGTTGGTCCCAGTATCCTTGGTTCTTTGTTGGAGGAACATGACGACAGAGTACAGCAGCCCATATAAGGTAGGGCTGATTGATGTTGGTACAAATTTTGCAAAAACAGACTCGTTTGGTCTAAAATAGCGTACGGCAAATTGAATTTCTACGGCAATGTTGTTTTTGTAAGAAGATTCGTCGCTTGTGCAAACATTGCACCACATCAATCAGCCCGAGTAATAATTCAACGTGGCACGAGGTATGTGGAATTTTTTTTCTTAGGCGATTAGATTTTCGGTTCGGTCCATTCGGCTTTTTCCGATCTTCGATTCAACATTCGATCTGGTTTCGTATTCAGCTTCGAAAATGTGAAAGCTTGGTATCGACAATGTTTCGATAGCAAGCCGCCAATCCCTTCGTACCGTCTGAGGGGCCCTGGTGTGTTTCATTCGAGGTGTCAATCAAGGTTTATGGACACATGTCACACTCCTCGGTCTCAACTCGGACGCCAAATTCTTGTAGGAGCGCACCCCTTGGATTTCTTCATTTTTGTAATCGGCAAACTAATTCAATAAAAACTCTTTAATCAAGGTGTTGTCTGTGTGATTGTTTTCTTTAGTTTAATGTTAAATTTACAGAGTAAGTAGCTGTAGGTACTAATGATGATTTGATTTGCAGGGATATTATTAATAACAAAATACTTGTTGTAATAATGCCACTAAAAATAAAACAAACAAAAAAACACGGAGTTGTGAGTGTGATGTCTTTTAACACATTCAAGCGCGCATTGACTGACGTTATGTGGTGCGTCAGTATATTCTACTGTAAACACAAAAATCACTAATTTTCCATTTCAGGTACTAGTACGTCGAAAATCATATATTTTTTTTCCGTTTTTTGGACTCTACCTCCAAGTTTTTCTTGACGGTTAATGGAACTTTTTTGGGCGCGCCCTTTCAAGATCGCACAACCTTTTTTTTACTACATTGGTACTATTTTTTGGATGCGTTCTTGAAGAAACGCATGGCACCATCTACTCTTTTGGAAGTCAGAAGCGAAGAGCTGAAAGCAAAGAAGAATCATTTATATCAGGGGTATTGTTATTGAGTTGTAAGTAATTAAAAGCTGATGAAAAATAAAGTTTAACAAACAAAACAAAAAATTCATCAGCTTTATTTTTTTCCTTTAAACGTTAATAACATAAATAAGTTAGATTTTGTTGTAACGGAGTTCCTTTTCATTAATGAACAATAAAGTTTGACCAACACAATAAAGCTTCAACAGAGCATTTTTTCTATTAAACGGATAACTCGTAATTTAGCAAGTTTTATTTCAGGAACTTCGGACGTCATCTTTGAAGACTATTTTTTTGCTCGAACATCGCCGACTCCAAGACGTCTTTTTGGGCGCGCCCTCTCAAGACCGAGCACGTCAAACTGATCGTTTGACGTATGTTCTCTAGAAGCTCGTTTTGGAAGTAATTCTGTCTGCGTTCCTGAAGAAACGCATGGCGACCCCGATTAGTTCGACTTAAAGCGACTCCAAGGTCTAGAAGTTAAAGGTAAGGCAGTTATTTGTTTCTTTTGTCAGTTGTTTTACCTGTCAGATGATCTTTTTGTGTTTCAGATTTAGTGCGTGAAATTAGTTTTGTCAGCGCCTAAGAGGTAAGGAAGAATGATACGAACCAAGAGAACACTAATTCCGATTGTGCAGGTAAATGAAGTTATCTTCCGGATGATGCTAAAACTTTTTCATTCTCGCTTCAGTGGGATTCAAACCCACGATCTTTGTTTAGTTACTGGTGCTCCTAGCCCACAATGCAAAGAATGCAATTTTCAAGTCGTAGGATTCAAAATGATCCACTGAATCTGTTTGATGATAGCCGAGAGATGTCAGCAGTCAATTCCACGGCCTTTCAAAGGAAGTGAAACTTGCAATTAGATTCCAACTGCTCGACAAAGTTAGTGTTTTGATATTATTAATTGCTTTTTTTCAAGAAGTATTTTATTTAGGTCAGAAACGCCCAGCAGTGTTATGACAGTTCTGGATGAAGTCCCATCAGCAGCGATCTGCAACCTGTAAGTACCAGAATATATTAGGAAAGTCTTCATCTTCAAGAGGATCAACATGTAAGCCCAAAGAGTGCGTAGTTTCATTTGAGGGAAGAGTTTTAAAGTCATTTTTGCTCCTGCTGCAACAAACGTTGTACTTTTATAGGTAAACTGGCCTCTGTTCCAGTGGGATTCCAACCCGTGAACATTGCTTCATTAGTAAGCAAATGGATATCAAATATTTAATGAGATTCATGCAAACGTCAGGGCGTCTAAAAGAAGCTGTAAAGTTTGATGGGTGGCTCACCTATGCCCAAATGTTGGTCGAGTACCTCCCCCCCCCCCTCCCCCGGTGTCTGAAGCAGATAAGCCACTGTCTGGACCAAAAGTACAAGGAATACCAACCTTCGAGGATTACAATGGATTAATATCAGCATTTAGTTGTAATAACCGAAGCAAAACGTTTGCTTGCTTTCTAAATCCATGTTATTGAGAAACATCATCCTTAGGTCAGAGATTTCCTGATGGCAGTGAGCAGATGATGCATGGCTGAAGTCTTGCCTGGCAGACCAAAGGTAAGTACTGGAAAAAAAAATACGAAGACGTTCATAAAATACCAGGAAAAAAAATTGGTAACAACAACAACAAACATGGCCTTCGCCCAAGTTGTGGACCTAGAATACAGGGCCATCTCTAGAAGATGCCAAGAAGGATGCTCTTTTGAGAAAAATATGTAGTCTTTGTTGAACTTTCCACGATGGCAAGCATACTTCATCCCAATATAAATATAGTTAAAGGTGCATTTTCCATCTACAAATGTATTACATATTAGAACGCATCCTCTCTTTTTGATCAATGGACATCTAATCCATAAAGGTTGTTGGATTTACGAGGTGTTATTGGGATTCAAACCCAGGCCTACTATTTAAGAGGAGAGAAATATCTAATAGATTCTTAGTTGTCGAAAGCTAAATTTCTTGTTCTTGAGGTGTTATGTATTTAGATCCTGAAAGACTTCAGATGTTGCACTCTGTCTGGTCTGAATACATGAGGTCCTACCCAGCGTCTGACCCAGACGATAGGATGGAACCTGCTGTACTCGACAGAGGCAAGTACAAAATAGAAAAATATCTACTAGTTATATTTCAACGAATAATTTGTAAAACTTGGCTGACATGAAATTAGGTTCGGATGGAAACTGTGCGCGGAAAATTCCAAAACTTTTGTATTGATGGACTAAGCATGTTTTAAAACTGCAAACCATTTTTGTCAAAACTTTCACTGATTTTGCTTGCTTTCTTGTTTCCTTCTTCTAGAGAGATGTAGAAACTATCTGGTAAGACACCGTCATGATTCAGTAGAGGGTTGGCCAGATAGATGACAACTATTGCATTGATTATGATGATTAAAGTCCTATCTTGCTGATGACGTCAATGATGACGATGATGACGACTTCTATAAAGAAGTGATGTTAGTAGCAAAGGACGATAGTGGTGGTGATGATGATGTATCTATGACGTTCTTCAGCAGGTGAAACTTGCATTGAGACTTAAAGTAGAAATACGTGTATCGCAGAACCTCGTGAGGGTCTGGGCAACCTCGTTCCCAGGTTTCTCTTGATGGATGAATAGAAGGGGACTGGGCTAAGGGTTGGATTGCCTTTAAAATGACAGGGATGGGTGGGTGAAGAGAAATAGAGTCAATTGTCCCGCTCAATACCTATAATAGAACAACAACAAAGGCAAAAGGGACTTGAGTTTTCTCGGTAGTTTGGGTGGTCTTGTCGTTCTTCTCGGAGGATTTACAAAAGGCCAGTAGGGATAAAACTAAAAATAATAACATGCAAATGAAACACGTGATGGCTGACTCATTTGAAGCACAAAAGGAAAGAAAATGACAAAAAGGGAAATAAATAAAGAAAATGGAACAAAAATGAACTTAAAATGAGAAATAAATAAACGAAAGAAAAATTAAACAGAAAAATGGTAAAGTGATACTTAAACAAAATATCACATAATAACCTAAATAAAAAAGAATCTAAATTGAAAATAAAGTCAAATAAATAATATGAGAATAGAAAAAACAATAATGATGACGATAATGACAGTAATAAGAGAAAAGGAAATAATTGCAACAAAAAAGACTTAATTGATTTTTGAAACGAAACTGCAAGGACTTCAAAACAGTCACGTTTCAAAAACTCAGGCAAGACGTATTTTTTATTTTTAAAGTCTTTTTAGTTGCCACTTTTAATGCTTTTCCTTTTTTATTACTGTCATTATGATCATCATTATTTATTATTATTATTATTATTATTATTTGTGTTCCTTTTTGTTACATTCTTTAAATTTATTTACCTTTTTCGTCTTTATACTTTTGTGTACAAGTCATTATTTTTAGGTTTTATCCCTATTGATCACGATAATTTTGAGTTTTAAACTATTTATTGTATCAAATTTTCAACATAGCCGATTTCATAGTATACGAGAACGACCTGACTATCCGAATTATCTGGAAACGCCAAGTCGCTTTTGTCTTTGTTTTTTTTTTCTCTAACGAGAGTTAATTTCACCCATTGATCCAATGAAGACAGGAGTGAGGGAAAACTAAACTTTGATAATAAGTTCAGTTAAACGTATGGTCTTGACTTCTTGAGAGACAGAAACAAAGTGAACGTTGACTAGTTGGGCAGCCTGATGAGAGACCGTGATTTGAAGAGCTCTGACGCCTCTTGCATGGATGTTGATGATATTGATGATAACGATAACGATGATTATGACGATGATGCGGACAATGATGTTGACGATGGTGATGACGATGATGAAGATGCTGAAGATAATGCTGACGACGATGCTGACGATGACGATGGTGCTGACGATGATGCTGACGACGATGCTAACGAAATGGTGAGTATCAGAACAGTAATGTTTGTTCTTCTTTAATAACGCAGGACTTGGGAGATCCTCTTTTAAAACTGAACCAATAAAGGAATCTTCTGTTTTCGTCTCAACAGCTTCCAGGAAAAGAGTCTAGCCCGGTGTGTTCACGGATCATATTGGAGGACGAGTGTGGATGTAAAGTTCCTTACAACACTACCTACGTGCAGCAGGAGAAAGAAAAAGCGCCATTGAAGACGACGGATTCTACTTCTCTCAGTATTAGATAGGGATTAAATTTAAGAATTTGTTCATCTCCTGAGCTTTTTTTGCTACCGCATATTTAACCTTTGTAATTTACCCGGCCATTTCTAAACAATACCATACCGCGGAGTTGGTACGTGCGCTTCAGTGCATAAATTGATATCATTTCTAAACAGCAAATGAACATCTAAGGACTAATATTTTCTCGGCCGATCAATCGATAACTGTTTAAGGCGGTGTATATACTAAATGAACTCTTTCAAAGTATAAAGGAAAATATAATTGTAGTTCTTACCTTAGAGTTAGTGGAACAAAACCTATGGGGTCATCATAAAAGCGAAACTTTTTTAGCAACACTTATTTCTCGTAATACTGTTTTTTAGGATTTTAAAAAATCAATACGAAGTAAAGAGAGTAACAGATATATATGAAGTGCAACTTTTGGTATTCTTAAGGCGCTGTTAAAGAGTGAAACAGTTGTCAGTTTTGTGCTAGACCGCGAGCAGTCTCCATTTCTTCAGATTTTAATAGTGAGGGGAAAGAACGCGCGCCGAGAAAGGAGGACGGCAGCCAGTGCTTAGAGAAACGTGACCGAATATGTAGCAAATGTAGGAGCCATTATGTAAAGGAAGAAAGCTATTTTACAAATGGACGACTTCTTTTGCGCGCATTTGTAGGGTTGAATTTATCAATTCGGCTACGCCTAATATTAGAGCGTAACTTGGAACTTCTGAATTCTTCTTAATTAATGCCATAAACGCTAATTTTGTAGCTTAACATGTAACGTAAACTGCAATAACGTTCTAATGCATGAAGACTTTCAGAGGTTCCGAGGTGAAAAGTTTTTTTGCCTGGCTTGGATCTAAATTGTCTGCAAAAATAAATAAATTAATAGATAAATCAAATTATAGCTACTATCTGCTGAGTGAATGGTAGAGAATAACAGCTTTCACCCTTTACATTGATCCAATAAGCTCGAGCACTTTGAAACAGCGACAGATATTCAAGTCGCGCGCTATTCTATAGTCAGCCTCGCCGACTAAACTCCGCGAACATTTTTTTATTTTTTTTTGCTTTTAGCCTAGCTAGGAGATATTATATATTTGAACACCTTAAGTTATTATTTTTTTCTCGTATTTATATACAGTAGCAAGCCTTAAAACCCCAAAGGCGTCACCATAGCACTGGTCGGGGGTACACGGTCCCCGCTTTTTCCAAAATTGGTTTTTCGGGGTTTACGTGTCCGGCTATGGTGTACTACGTAGTATACTTTTGATATAGGTATTCTTTAATGTTAGTTTATCAATAAAGTATACTTTTGCTTGTTGGAAAAACGCTTGCCTTTGTCAGTCTTCGCTTGTCCATGCACATTTGAAGTGGACGCACAGTATTTTATATCAACCAGAACAAAGCATGCAACTTAACGGGCAGTGGACCAGTAGAGCACTTTGTGAGTAACGTAAGCGTCGCAGACCTAAATTATAAAAATGCGCAAAATTATTATTTAAGAAAAATCACAAATAAATAGAAATAAAAGAATATACTGGCAGAACCTGCCGATGAAGTTTGTTTCTTGTATATACAGGTAATCGCTTGTTTCTTTTAGTCACCTGTAAGCCTGCCACCCGGAGGGGGGCACTCCCTTACTTGGTCTATACAGGTATGTGCCGCTGAATAGGGTATGGCTTTCAAGGTCTTGAGTCCTCAACAGGGCATACAATTTCACTATTAAGCGTCTTGAACAGGGTGTCTTTTTGGACTTTGCGATGAGCGGACTACATTTGCAATACTGACATTTTTTTCTTATTTCCACGATTCTAGTGTGAAAAATTACTTTATTCTGTATGCAAAACAAAAAAAATCAGGGTCAGAAAGTAGTGTCTCTTGTCTTAAACGCGGTAGCGAAATGAGCAGTTTTTGTCTTAAACTGGGTCGGGGCTTGAAGACTTAGGCGGCACACCTCTACCCAGATTTCCCTTGAGTGCCCCCACCCCCCCGCCGGGCCTGTCTTTTTTAACTGCGATATCCCACTGGCACGTCGGTCAAATTTTACACAGAAGGGAATTTCTCAACAAAGTTATGCTCGGGTTGGGACATTAGTCAATTCAATACTTCCTAGTTGGCAGAGGTCTTTTTCCCCTGATAACTGCACCACACCCAAAGTAATTATCGTGGGGTAGACACTAGCCAACCGGCTCCAATATATAACATTTTTTTTTCCAATTGAAAGTAACACATTATTACCAGAAACCCTTCCAAAAAATTGTGGGATTTGAACACAGTGATTTACAACAACACTAGCGACCCTAAGAAAGGGATAAGCATGCATAAAAGCCTGTTTTTCAGTTCTTGAATTTGTCTCATAACGTCACATATGAGACTGTCAATCCCGTGGTCAACGGAGAGGGCGTGCTGGAGAAATTTAGACTTAAAAATTCCTAAAAAGAATCTTTTTTCAAAACGCAATTTTTTCGTTGAAGTTCTTGCAGTGATGTCCTCTGTAAGTAAACATAATAAACATTTGCACCTTTGTACGGAAAGGTTTGTGAAGCATCCATCGCTATTACATTGATAAGGGCGTCACCCCCAACTAGGACGGAGGTCTGCTGCTCTTTGTGGGTCACTTGTTCAATAGGTGGACAAATGCTGTCATATACCTCCCAAATTTTCCTTGAATCATAAGCATGGCCTTAAGATTTTTATCT